GTTTGAGAAATTAATACATTACTTGTCAAAGTCAGAAATCCGATTTCAGATGGCATCGATTTCGCTTTTCACCTTGCTTGATGCGTAAGGGTTGAAAAGTCTGAAGCAATACTGGCCTTCCTTGATACCTTTCAGGAGCTGCATCTCGAATGGTAAGCCTCAGTAATTATTGTGTTTGACGTTTGTTTGTTATATCTAATTTAATGAAGTCGAGCGCAGTTTATGCGGCTATGTAGTTTATGCACGTTTGTAAGATTTGAGACAATTTGATATGACCAAGAATCAGGTTTGATATAAGCTTACAGAACTTTAAAAAGCCCTTAGACATTTTCTCACCGCAAATAGAAAGAAAACGTTCCAAAGAACATTTAGTTATAATTCTGGCTGTAAAAGAAAGCTTTGAGGGATTTTCTTGCCTCGAGTTCATCTTTGAAAAAAGTAAATACCGGGGAAGCCGGCTTAAAACATAAACTCAAGCTTTAAGCTTGAAGAAAGACTCAGGATTTTTAGAGACACTTTAATACTTGTCTTCGTCAATGAAAAATGTCGTCTCTGTTATATTTCTTTTATTGATTGTTGGTAGTCTCTCTTGTACTTTTAATCGCCGTGCCGTTTGTTTTCAATCGTTCAGTGAACATCGCTTGCAGGAGTACTCACAGTGCAGCGGCTATCAAACCGGCGCTTTAAAGATTACACATCGATAAAACAATTTAATAAAACTGAATAAACATAATAATTTCTTTATTATGTTGTAGCTTAACTCTCAGTATGTTCGTTCAAACACGCGCTACAGTTTTCGCACTGCAAAAGTGAGAACCGGCTGGCCGTATATGATTTTGGAATTTTTGTTAACGGTTTAAAAAGCCCACACGTGCTTCGATCGTCCTGAATATTGAATGAGTGCAATTTGTGTTGCAAAATTGTGAAATACTGCATTCTGTCCGAGGTCTGTATGATAAAAACAGTACCTCTGTTTCACCTCAGATGTGATGTATAAATGGTGTAAAAGGTGTGTTTCCACGTGCACGCACCCGGATTGGTTGGCAAGATTTTGTAAAGTAAACCTGTCGAACGCAAAAAAATTCGGCCGGATTTTTTTTCCAGGCTTAATTAATCTTACAGTGATCAAGAACCATTATGGCTCCTAAATGTGATCGAAGATGATTGCTATTTTTTGGGTGTACATATGAGGCTATCAACTTGATGTAAGATTTTGTTCACTCTTGGGCTGTTTGCAAATCATTTTTCTCTAAAATCACTTATCCTTTCCCTCAAAAGTCACATGAATGTGCTATGTGCTCTAAAGTTAACTTAGTTGTAGAAAACAAGTTTATTGTTTGATTTAAATTATAAATATATTAATGGGAGCCTCGCTTTTAGCCCTGGCTAAATCTATATATTATGATACCTAAGCGGCTTCCATTTCAGAACTCAAGGGTGCAAAATGCAAACTTTTGCCACGAATTTCAATTCGGTCATTTTAATTTAAGGTGCACAGTGAACTTCCATTTGGCTTGATGAAGCAGTCTAGAAAGAAAAAAAAATCGAATGAGAGATGGGTAAAGGTACACGGAATATTGAAGTTTTGAAAAAGGCAAACACAAATGAATCACAGCACGAAATTTCTAATTTACGCATCTTTTCTACTTCCGTAAAAATGCGTAAATGTCGTGACATTTCTTTACGAACAAATTAAGAGTTGCGTAAAGAAGCGTAAACATGAAAACCGCGTAAACACTTTGTAAAGGGCGTTAAAGGAGCGTAAATTACAACTTTAAAAATTGACTTGATTTAGTTTACATTATTTAAGAACTTGCGAATGAAGTATTACTTTCATGTCTCCCGTTGTCTTCCGTCAGTGTCAGATAAGGTCATGATATGAATATTTACGATTCTTTAAGTTTCTTTACGCATCTTTACGCATCGTTCTTTACGCCTCTTTCCCCTTCTTTACGGGTCTATAAAGAGGAGTTCACTTATTCACTTTTAACCTTGAGTTAGAGAGAGTGGTAATTAATTTGATTCCCACATGGAATTCCGGACAGACTATAGTAGATCTGTTGGTTGACTCATTAGTGGTTGTTGAATTTAAAAAAATTATTAATTATTGCAGAAGTAAAATGCGATTGAACATGTATGGTTTAGTCGACTAAAAAGGTTTCTTGTAAGAAATGTCTCTAGCAAAATTTTCACAGGGATTTTAGCAAAAAAATTTATATTTTAAGGTTTCTAAGTAGAAGAACTAGGTTTCCCACCCTAAGTGGAAAATTGTTCGTGTGTAGATGCAGCTCAATTTTGAAGCCCATCCTCAATACTTCTATTTTTCTCTATACCGTGGCGTTGCCTGGATGTTTTCTAAAACACCCATAAAGTTTTCAGTTTGTAATAATCAGCAGAAATCTGACATCTGTTGTATTTATTGCTTTCAACCTTAGATGGCTTATTACACCATGTTTGTAGTCAACATTGGCCAATTTTTTTTCTCTGACCTCACAGCTGTTTCCTTTTGTTTTGTAGTGCCAGCTCAACAAGAAACAAAGGTGTTTTTTCAGTCATTGCTGATGCAGTAAGTAATGACTATGGTGGAAGTGAACAGTGTCCTTGGTCACCTGCACAACTAAGAGGTAAGTGCATGATGTAGTTTTGAAATTACTTGCTTTTTATTTAAAGCAAGGACATTTAAACAAGTCATTCGGCACACTATTATTATTGCATTTTAAGCTGTCTCAAGCTGTTTGCTTCATAATGATTGCTATTCCTTCAAATTTACAGTGCTAAATCTTGTCTCTTCTTAAAGGAAAGATATTATATTGATGAATTATTTTTAATTATTTTACACAAAATGTTGAAGGGTTTTTACATACAAGAGTCTTCAGCGCTAATCAGTTTAGTAAAATAGCAATAGAGGTCTTCTTTTTGTCTTTGATTTCAGCATCATATGTTACATACTTGAGAAGCCTGAAGGACACAAGGAAAAGAAGAGGGAAGGTGGACCACAATACTGTCTGCAGACGACAAGGAAGAGTAAGAGAGGTAATAAAACCTTTGTTATAGTTCTATCCATTTTCTGTAAGTCTAGGATTTGTTATAACTGAAAGATTTCTTAATAGGATGCAAGTACATTTACCAGCTTTCCTAAAAAAGACCCCACTTGGACAATCTTTCTTTACATCAAAGGAGACTAGGAGCCATGTTTATGTTTAAAACAATAAAAGACTTTCCCTTAGAACTTGCAGGATTTATTTAGTATCTGCAGCACGATATAAATGTAATTTTAAAGATCCAAGATCAAACTAGATTTACCCACACTGTCTACTTTCGCAGCCATAGCCAGGGCTGTCATTAAGAGGCGGGGCCAGGTATTTTTCCTGCCTATTATGAATGTGGTCACCAGATACTTTCATGGGAAAATATAGGAAAATAGAACCAAAAGTAATCCCTAGCTGTTTGATTCCCCACCTACTTGTTACATTAATATTTACCCAGCAACTTGACATCTTAGTGACAGCCCTGCATAGCTTAGGCTACAGCAAGGTTCTATTGTGGAAAACCCTATATATCATTTTATTATTTTTTATGTATGGTAGTTGATATCAACATTAACATCTTTGATTTTTTGTGCATTTTTACATTTAAATGTTCAATGCACACTGCATAAGCTCTCTAGATGATCTCAGTGTGCTCTTAGAGCAAATGTTGACATAAAAACTAATTGATTATATATATCTTTTTATTTTTTAGAAAATTGTGCGACGAGTAGCTGTTGTTGAAAGAATGGGCTGGGATGAAGCTAAGAGAGAAAAAGTAAAGAAATGCTTGACCATAGATTACACCAGCTCTGATGAGAGTGAGCTGTCAGAGGATGAGGATGGAGGAGTGATAAAGAGATTTATTACTAAGAGGTTATCTTGGGAGGGGAGCAAGTTAAGAGATCTTAACTTAACATAATGCGCGCGGAGGTGGGAAAATCTATCGTGATCAGCTTACCTCAAGCTTAAGTGTTCTACATCTCTTCGAGAAATAAATTCATCCTTGTAAAAGCATCAAATCTTTCGCTTTTGAATTCCTAACGTCACAATTATTCCGATCTCCTCTTGATCTGGCCCAACAATGAAAACAACTACGCCTTGTGTAGATTTTTTTCATGTGTGTAAAACATTGTTAGCTCCTTGAATTGGATCGAACTCATATCAGTATGCAAGTATATAATGAGAGATTAATAGTGGTCCAAGGTTAAACGAATATGAAAATAATTATCATATTCTTTTATTAATATCATCGAAATGTTGAGCCCTTGTTTGTAAAATGTTTTGACACTGTCTTTAAGTTTTGGATGTTACTATCAAAACACTAAAAACAAACAAAACAACATCCCTTGACTGCCATTACATTGTTTAAACTGATCAACCTGTCTGTTTATCAGGGAGGGGGATGAGTTGGAAGTTACTATTTAAAGTTTTTGTAAAGTCCATACTATTCTCTTGCTGGTCAGTTCAGGTGTTTAGATTAACAGTAGAGGATTATATTGTAATCAAGCATAAACTGTATATATTCACCATGAAATAATAATAAAGTAAGTTGTAATATTCTGTGTGCCCTTTTTGAGTTCATTAATTGAATGAACTCTGAAAAATGAACTCATTTTTTTAATGACAAATCAGGTTCATTGCTATATTACTGGAAATTCAAATACTTTCTACTTATTTCTTTTTCCTTCATGAACAAATATAAGACTTTTTGGTTCATATTTCAGCGTTCATGAGCTGTCTCTCTTAAAATCACTGTATTTTGTGTTACCTGTCAGCGTGCAAAGAAAGTCGTGTCCGATAGCCCGGGGCCAGTAGATTTTGCTGTCGGGCTAGTGATTTTTGTTCTTAGCTTGCCCGACGGGCAAGTGCTGTTTCTTTGGGAAATTCACTTTTCAGAAGGATAGTAATCAATCCTGCTAATCAAAAAGGGTTTTGGGGCTAGTTGAAATGACTTGTGGGCTAGTACATGCTAGCTACAGCTTGCCCGAATGGCAGGCTGTAAAACTGACTATCTTTGCACCCTGCTTGTAATGTTTCTAATTTATTTTTTTGGGGTGACTTTTTGACTTTTTCTTTTTTCCTTCTGGTGTTCTTTAATACTGAACAGCTGACTGGTAGGTAGTCTGAAATGTCATACGTCTCCACCCCGAAACCCATGGGGGACTCAAGGGGGGGGGGGAGACTCTATTCTCAGGAGACCAGTATGAAGATTGTAAAGGCTATATTCTACGTCCATTAGTGATGGTGTTGATAACAAAGGAGAGACTAAGTCAGCTGACACTGAGCTATTGTTCATTGTTCACATTCAACAAACGTAACATGACATAACATTGCAAAGTGTGACATTGTTTTTAATAAGTACAAATAACTATTATTATTAAATTTTTGTAATACGGTGTATCAATTCCTTTTTTAGTGTTAAGATCCATTGTCCCTGTATCATTAACACCTGAGTTGCACATGGAGGTTGGGTGCCTAGGAACCAGGGGACTGGAGCTGCCAACCCCTAACCCAAGTAGCAAGAACACCGCAAAAGCCTGCCCTACCCACAACCCAGCCACGAGCCCCACCCGCCACACCCAGCCCCAGCCCCAGCCCAAGCACTCATCACACTGAACAGAGGGCTCAGTGGAGAAATAAGGACAATAATAATAGTAGCAATAATAGTAAGGGGTGAGGAGGGAGGGGAAAAAACACTAAAACTGAGCAACACTCAGCAAAACACCAATCAGAATGCAGCATTGATAATAGACCACTAGTTGGATTTTACTAAATAAGTATATTAACCTTATTATGACTCTCAAACTTGACCTGTTGGCATGTACTAGTATTTACTCCATGTGTTAAGTGTCTTAAACCAACTACTGCAGTTTTAGGTGCAAACAGTACCATCCCTCTCAACAGAGTGGCACCATAATCCTCTTCCCCCTTCCAGTCCACAAAATGTTGGTACTTTTTTATGCATTTTCACACATATCTGCAAAAATCTTACATACAACTTGAACTATTTCCCCACTTAATTAAGGACACCTATGTCACAAATATAAGCAGTTGGCTTCCCTGTGAGGTCTCTTTTTAGTCCCAACATCACTAGTGGAATATTTTTTACTCATATCAGATGGTGAGTGTTGTCTTCGAACAGTTTAGAAATCACAACTTGCAAATCTCCTTTTAAGCTGGGCTTAATTGAGATGCTTAACGCAATGTTTCTGTCTATTTTCGTTGTCTTTTTAAATAGTCTTATATAGCTTTACTGTCTTTTTTGCTTGTTTGTTTGTTTTTTTAAAGATTTTTTAAACCCTGGGACCACCGTAATTGGCTTACTGCAGTTGTGGTATTCCTACCTAATTAAACAGTTATTCTTCTTTGTTTTCAGTGCATATTAATTTTATTATCCTTTATTTTTTTTCTCTCTCTGTTTTTTATCACATTATGGGCAAAGCTAATATAATATATAGAGGATATTACATGGCTGCACAGAGATACAAAGTTTCTCTTTGAGTGTTGAAAAATATTTCACGAGTGAGCGCAGTGAACAAGTGAAATGTTTTTTCAACACGAGAAGAGAAATTTTGTATCTCCAAGCGGCCATGTAATATTCTATTTATTACATAAATACCAATGAACTACCAAACCATTTCACTTTAATAGTTTTTTGGTGTGAAAGGCGCAATTTATTATGTAGCCATAGCAACGGTGATATTTTCACATGTGAAGATACCAAGTTTTCACGCGAAAGCTCACCTGGTATTTCACTGGTGTTTATATAATAAAATAATGTCTTTGGTTAAATTTAGGCTTCTTTTCGTGTCACTGACCATTCAAAATTCCTTCTCTACTGCCTTAAGTATTGGGAGTTATCTCTTTTGCTTAAAAATGTCTCAAAGTCATAATTTCACTTAACAGTGGTGACATACCTTATCACCAATAAAGTTGTCCAAACTGTTGGAAAAAAAGGGTTGACTTGGTAATGGCCTTAAAAACCATGTTAGGGGAATGGAGTGGCATTCAGACCCTTTGTTGTAATGGAGTCAATCCTGCATAATTTGCATAACTTGCAGCTGTAGATAAATTGAGACTCTCGCAGGGTACAGCTTTTGTAATGTCATGTATGGGGTTAGTAATCTAACTTGAGGGAAACTGGGGAAATCCATCAGAGTTCAGAGCAGAGAATGTTTTTGCTTATTAACTGAGTGTTCAAAACTGTGTTGGCACCAAATGACTGCCTGTAGAGCTANTGGCATTCAGACCCTTTGTTGTAATGGAGTCAATCCTGCATAATTTGCATAACTTGCAGCTGTAGATAAATTGAGACTCTCGCAGGGTACAGCTTTTGTAATGTCATGTATGGGGTTAGTAATCTAACTTGAGGGAAACTGGGGAAATCCATCAGAGTTCAGAGCAGAGAATGTTTTTGCTTATTAACTGAGTGTTCAAAACTGTGTTGGCACCAAATGACTGCCTGTAGAGCTACTACATGTACACACTTAGTTTAGGTTTTCAAGAAAATAGTGTTGAATAGTTAGAAAGTAGCCTGGACAAATGGGCGACATTTTGCGACGCCATCACTGGTTTCATGGCAAAATGATGTCTGTGAAACGAGTGCAGAAATTCCATACTGATGACATATCAACACCTAGATCTGGTAGTGCTTTTTGATTGGTTGAAGCAAACTGTCAGCCAATCAGACCTACTACCCAGATCTGGGTAGTAAAAGGTAACCACTTGTGCAATGTTAGCGGTTTTGTAAGGCTGTTATAAGAAAGGGTGGAAATGATTACATGAATATATTTTTAACAGCTTTTATATTTACTTATTTATTTATTTACCAATTTACAAATTTACAAATGTAAATAAAAAAAATACAACAATGAATACAACAATAACATAAAATTACTAACATCAACATGTAAGATTACACAGGGATTGCCTAAATGAACATGGGGAAGTAGATGCTATAATTTCTGGTGGGAGATTGTTCCACTGTGCAACAAAAAAGAGTTCTTATAATAATCACATGTACGTGGCTGTTCAACCTCCATCCTTCCTTATTACAGTGGAACCCTGCCTTATGGCTACCTCAGTAACTCGGTCACCTTGTTATTGTGGCCACTTTTTTCTGCGGGCTGTACATTTCCTTATAAAAAAACTCCCGTTAATGTGGTCACCTGTTGATATGGCCAATGGCCACGTTTTGAAATCCCAAACACTAGAATCTCTTATAATTTCACCCCCTTAATACAGCCACTTGTTCGAATTTTATAAAATTTTAATTTTTTAAATTGCCTGTGACATGTCAATTTTATTGACCTAGTACTCTGAGCCTGTTCTTGTACTGTTTTTAGACTACAGTACACATAAAGTGCAATTGTTATGATTTTTTTGCTGCATTTTAGAAGTGTTTTATGTAGTGAAGGAAAATTTTAAGTAGTTTTTTCAATTACTGTACGCGATATCTACATTCCGATTGTTTATTAGTGACAACAGTTGTTCAAGAAATGCGAATGTGATGTACGGTGTATTTGTAATCATAGGGCCCTCAAGTCATGAAATTTGAGCCTGCCCTGATAATATGGCCACCCCGTTAATATGGCCAAACGTTTTTGACTCATTGTTGGTGACGGAGTTCCACTGTAAAGTCTTGCTAATATTAGATGCTTAACCCTGCATAACATACCACTCTTATGACTTATAACATTTTTTTAATATGTTAATACTGAGTATTGCAAAGATTTACTATGAAAATAGAAGAAAATAAACTTAAAAAATAATGATTATTTTACAAGTTTTTTGGTATGAATTCACAGAAAAGTGATGCATTCTGGGCTTAATGTTGAATGTAAAAATAATCTGGAGAATCTGAATTGGAATGTAGTCGGTTCTTTGTTATTAAGCTAAATTTTTTTCTTTCATTTTTAACTACACTTTGGTTATGAAAGACCATGCACATAAAGGTGACAAACATTAACATTACCTTCACAACTGCCACATCTATTTAATTGTACATTTGTTATGGTTCCTTATCCTACTATCCTACACACTATTGGTTTGATTCGTTTCAGAATCTCTCTTTTTATTAATTCCATGCTTTGCTGATGTAACTTCCTTTGTGTGGTTTGTGATGCCTTTGCATGAGCAGGTCAACTTAAAAGTCATTACTTGTGTTTAGAAATTGGAAATAATTCGGATTTTTTTTCATGGTGGTGATAATTATGATGATGATTATGATTATGATTTAAATTTTCTCATTATCTTTCACTTTATTTGTTTATTTTGGCCTGTAGTACAAACCAGACACAACTTTAACTCTTCTCAGTGTACGTGTGAGGGTAAATACTCTTTCCTGAATCTTTTTTTGGTTGTTGGTGTGTTGTTTTTTAGTAATGTTGCCTGTAGGTGTATTGTAAAATGTGAAAGTATTGTAAGTAAATGAGACTGAGAAAAAACCTGGATTTTAAGTACTTTATATGGGGCACAGTTATTATTATTCCATCTGACGTATTCCATATGACGTCATATAGACGCTTGCGTTTAGGCGAGGATTAAGGCTAGTGGACACTTTGTGATGTCTATCATAAGGGGCATGAATCTCATTAACTTGCAATCCTGGACATAGAAAGTCAACGCACAAAGGAAAGTCACCATTTGAACACTTACTAGTGATACATTTTTTGTAATCGTTTGCTATGTTTTGTTTTCTTTTAGGTGTTTAGCCATTCTGATCATGCTTGGAAATGGCATCTTTTCCGGAAAGATACCGCAAAGTGCAAGTCACCATTTTGGCCTCTGAATGGGGATCGAGCAAAGGAGGGCTGTCCACCATAAACAGAGAATTAGCCATTCAGTTCGCAAAATGCCCTGAAGCGGAAATCACTTTCTTTCTTCCAAAATGCAGTCAAGAGGATAAAAAGCTAGCCCTCCAACACAACGTAAAGATCGTTGGGGCATCACGCCGGCCTGGCTTTGAAGAACTGGAGTGGCTTAGCTTTCCACCAGAACATTTACAAATAGATGTAATCGTAGGTCATGGAGTTAAACTCGGCAAACAAGCACAAATCATTAAAGAACGTAAGAACTGCAAATGGATTCAAGTCATGCACACAGACCCAGAAGAACTGGGAATGTTTAAGAACTATTCCGACCCCATTTCCAAGGGTGAAGAGAAACATAAAACAGAGGTAGAGTTGTGTGAAATGGCAGATCTCGTTGTAGGAATTGGACCCAAGTTGAGTGATGCCTTCCGCTCGTATCTTCGAGGATGCAAGAAAGATAAAAGTGTGGTGGACTTGACACCTGGAGTATTTGAAGAATTTGTTAGTGTGATTCAGGACACTGAAGAAAGGAAACAACGCAGTGTCTTGGTGTTTGGTCGTGGGGACGCAGAAGACTTCGAACTAAAGGGATTTGACATCGCTGGAAAAGCGGTCGCTGCATTACAAGATACTCGTCTTGTGTTTGTTGGCGCCCCAGGTGGAAAACATGAAGAAATAGCGAAGCGGTTAACCAGATGTGGTGTTCCTGCAAGTCGCTTGAGAGTAAGAAGATTTATTGAGGACCGAGAGAGTTTAAAGCGCTTGTTTCAAGAAGTGGATCTTGTAGTCATGCCTTCACGAACAGAGGGCTTTGGGTTGGCGGGACTTGAGGCCCTATCAGCTGGTCTCCCCGTGCTTGTCAGTCACAACTCGGGTTTTGGAGAAGCACTGTGCAGTGTACCATTTGGGTCATCCTTCGTAGTTAATTCAGAGAACCCCACCGATTGGACCGCAGCCATCACAAAAGTCTGGGCCAAGGACAGAAAAAGTCGACTTGAGGAAGTGGAAACTGTTCGCGACTCGTACGACAAGAAATACAACTGGGCCAAACAGATAGAACATCTTCTTGACATAATGATCAGCAGGATTCACGGTATGAATGGGAACTATTTGTTAATTTAATCTGTAAAAAGCACTTAATTACCACACCTGCTAATAATGGCAGCAAATGTAAATCAACCAGTGTATTTTGGAATAGCAGGGTGGGCTGTCAGCTTTTAAGAATTACCGGCCTTTTTATCACTTAAAACGGTTCCTGTAAAGAAAGACACGTTGTGTCTTGTTAACGGTTTTATTTACTTCCAACTTGTTTTACTCACAATCAACGAAACAAGTACAGTGTAGTGTTTAATTTCTTCATTTGTTGTTTTAAGAGATAACGGTCATTTTTTCTCCTTGTTTCATGAAGATGATTTTTCAAATGTCCAGAGATTGTCAGACATTTTAAGCCGAACATTGCCAATTTCTCACGAGGATTCCCAGGGGACAATAGGCACAACGGAGCATAATACAGGTATCTCTAGAACAACAGTAAATTGGGCAATAGAAACGTGCAGCTTGTTTTCGAAACATTGCTGCAAAACGAATTGAATGCAATAGTGCGCGTTTTACCACCTATGCTCAAACCTGTCTTGTAAGAAATCAGTAGGTGGCTTCAAGTTGCAAGAATGCTGTTTTCTGATTATTTAGCTACTAAGTGGGAGTCACGCCATACACGGGATCGAGGGTGTTACGTCACTTGCCGGTGCTGTAAAACAGCTTTGCCTTGGTCCAGTAAAACGCGTCACATGTATCGAACTAAATTTTGTTGCAAAAGGTAGAACTTCTCTCTTCTTTATGCGGCAACGAGATGTACAGTATGCACTGACTGTAAAACAGCGAGCCCACCACGGATTTTCTTAAAATATTTCTTAGTGCAAGCCGCGATTATCTTAAGAATGCATGCCTCCAAACGGTTTGGACATAGACTGCAAAACATTAAGGAATGAATCTATATGATAGACAGCTCTAGCCTTTCAATGTTAATTGTCGGAAATTGTATGTGTAGTACGATTCAGCAACCGGAATGGATATGATTCTGAGTCATCAGTGCAATTGCTATTTGACTGTTGTATGTTATTTGTTTGCCAGGTGAGTGTAGTGTCCAAAGAAAGAAGAGAAACAATGAAAAGGACATCATGAAGAATCTTCAAACTGGAGCAAAAGTCCGAAAAACTATGGACTATATCATGACTTCCGGAGCTACAAGTAAGAGCTCATGAGATACACCTGTGCTTTACCGCAAATCTTCTAATTTTACATAAAAAAGCTCAACTTCGTTTCGTTCCAGTATCTCTTCAATGGCTTTTCCTTCCTTCTTCCTCGTGCCGGGTGCTGGAAAGAGAAAACACCCTGAAAACGAGGTTGGAAAAATGGTTGTAGACGTTCTGTGCTTTGTCGTTTTGTTACCTCATTTAAATCACACGACTGTTTTTTGGGTGAACGTTTCTTTGCAAATTGATTCTTTTTACGCTCGTGCAAATGAGGCATTCTTCCAGAGGTAACGTTTGACTTGTGATAGGAGTGAGGCATAAAGCGAGTAAGGTCCAAACCCCGATTTCAAGGCACATAGGATTTCACTTTACTGCCAAAAGTCTAACAAGCAATTGAATTAATAGCAATTTTGTTCGATTATTCTTTTAGACCTTGAGTCAACTCAGTTTTCCTCCACCAAAGAAAGATCAAATTATTCTCGATTGTGTCGTCTTCTAATCAGCTTGGGTTCAAAAGTCCTCAGAGAAACCTTTGACAGAATAATTCCACCGCAAAGTCTTCAATGCACTTTGAAACGTAACCCAGCTCACGCTAAGCTGCAGTCACGTCGAAATGAAGGAATATTAAACTGCTTTCAGTGGAGTAAACTGTATCCTACCTCACCCTCTGAGGTTTCATCAGCAGGTTTCGACATCCCCATGCTAATGGTTCTTCTAAGGACAATCTGTGATCTGAGTCCTCCACCCGCTGGTTGGGATGCTCCTCCTCTTCCCGAAGACATAAGCCGTGAGTCTGACATTGCGCGTTTGAAGTATTTCATGAATGCTGTATCTAGTCATGCTGGAGAAGGTTTTGTTGGTGATGCTGTATTCAGTAGCCACTGGCAGCAGATCCATGACACTATGGTTCGATTGGGAGGAGCTGATTATGAAGATTTCATTAATGAAATGCGGGATCAAGAAATGGACCTCCTAAGTGAGGAACATTTCAGGGAACTTCTGAAGCAGTGGAGGAATGTGGAGGACAATATCAAAGACAAACTGAAACAATTGGAAAGCGTAGAGGCTGTTAATGTGGCAGGTGAGCTTTGTTGGCAAAAAACACTACTCCTGTTTTAATTTTTTATGGTTTATCCTAAGTGTTCGCCCCACAATAGGTATTCAGAAATGTCGGTTTCATTGCGTATTCTCCCTGCAAATACTACGAATACAGTCTGCGTCTCCTTGTTTCGCGGTATGCAAAATAAAATATATGCAAATAAAATATTAATACATTATTGTCAATTCTAAACTGACTCCACGTGGACAAAAACAAAAGCACTGTCCTGTTAACCTATAAAACAGTTATTTTCATGCTCTTTTAGCTGATTTAAGGCTATTGTCACCATGATTCGCTTGTTGCTCCCTGCAGTGCTTCCTTTTACTACCTGTTCTGTTTCTTGATTTAAAGAAACGAATACAGCTTTTTTATTATTTTGCAGTCTTGTTTCAGTTCGCACGGAGGAGTGTACTGTTACGGTTTAAGACCACTAAGCCGTGAACGTTTGAACGTTTACGTTGTTCCAATTTTACCTGTTTTGTACAAGTAAACCAGTCGTGTTTTCATTGGGAATATGTTCAGCTTTGTGTTTTTAAAGTTTTTGGTCTCACGCTACCGCGACTCTCTAAAGGACAGAAGGACAGTCGGGGCCGGTCCCGCCGAAGGTGTATGTCTTAGAGAGAGTTTACTGTGCCAGCTAACAACGAACAGTGCTTGACTTCCCACTGATGGAGAGCTAAGCAGAAATTGTCTGGGCTATTGTAACTTTATTGGCCCTTTTTGTTTTTAAATGCGGAACGTTTTTAATCCACTAGTATCTGTAAAATGCCACGCAGTATAGGGACATTTCTACTTTCAACTTTTATTAGTCTGCGCTCAGTATTAAACAGCGTTATCATAGCACTGCAATGAAAACGCCATCTTTTCACACGTGGAGGTAACATAATCGATAAACATTTATGGTTTGTTCCTTACTGTACATGTTTAGCCCTTTTAATTTCCCATCAGACGTTCTCGGGGATAGGTTATTACGCTGCCGTGTTATATTTATCATGGCTTCATGAAATGCAATTGTTTTTTTAAGCACAAGTGAGAAATTTTAACACACCAAACTAACTGCATCTTATATCGTTTTACTATTTTAGGTTCTTCATTGCCAGTCGATATCGTTGAAAAGATCCGTCAGCTCTACGGAACACGTGAACAACGCCTTCTACCCGTTCCTTGGTGTGACGATTTCAGCTTTCATCTCAATGAAATTTTTACTAGATTAAAGATCGTAAGCAAAGAAAAGACCCGAGGTGAACTTTCAGATGACATAACCAATATGACTGCTATCTTTAAGCCGCACGCAGAGTGCCAAAGGCCACGGACAGTCTTACTTGAGGGAGATCCTGGCATGGGAAAAAGCACGTACTGTCAGAAGCTGGCGTATGATTGGGCTACTAAACAAGAGCAATGGGACACGTCTTTTCCAAAGATTGAAGTGCTACTGCTACTGAGATGTCATGAAATAAGGTCTACCATCTGGGAAGCTATTGATGATCAAATTCTACCTGCGGAAATTGACGATCAAACTAGAGAATGTTTTTTTAGGTTCGTTCGTGAAAATCAACCAAAGGTTCTATTTTTACTTGATGGAGTGGATGAAATGGATTCCAGTCAACAACAGAAAATCTTTGACCTTGTTGAAGGCAAAGAACTCTCGGGTTGTCACGTTGTACTTACTTCTCGTCATGAGGTGGGAAGGAAAGTTAGGAGGTACTGTGACACTTTGTGGGAGATTGTAGGGTTCTCCGAGGAAGACGTTAAGAGTTTTATTTGCACTTACTTCAGAAAAATCAAAAAGGAACACTTAGCTAAGAATTTGATGGAAAAGATTTGGAATTCGTATGAGCCCTCCGAAGACTTGGATGAATTGACAAAAAATCCCTTAAACGTAACTTTACTCTGTATTCTTTGTGAAGATTTTGAGGGCGTTTTTCCCGCGAGCAGGACTCAGTTGTACACTGAGATTGTCCTTTGTGTTTTAAGACGATATGAGAGAAAGGAAGGATTATCAAGCAAGAATGAAGACCTAATGAGCATCTACAAAGACGATTTGATAAATTTGGGACGAGTGGCGTTACAGTCTCTTCGAAAAGGAGAATTACATTTTGAAGAACACGAATCTGGCGGTACCTTTGTTGTCTTATCCAAGTTTGGTTTTCTGTCACTGCAATCTAGTTTTAGTAAAAGGAAAACGTGTGTGCGTTATGCATTTCTCCACAAAAGCTTCCAGGAGTTCTTTTCTGGATTTTATCTTGCTTGCCAAATTCTTGACGAAGAAATTGAGTGTGATTCAGTAGTAACTGACCGGAGTTTTCGGTCTGATCTGAGTCAAGTCTTTTTGTTTATGACTGGAATTTTAGCCTCGAAGAGTGAGAGAAGCGCAGAGTCTCTGGTACAAAGTATGGCTGCAAAAATTAACTTGATACATAGAAGACGTGGGTGTATTTTAGGACTTTTTCAATTAGCTTTAGACTGCGTATCGGAGTGCACAAGTTTAGCTCCAACTTTAGGGAAACACCTTAACTTAACCAATTTGTATTTGAACGAAAACGAGATCGATGATTCTCGTGCTTCTTCCCTTTCCCAGACTCTTTCAGCCAACTCCTCCTTAACTTGTTTGGATTTGAGTGGGAGCGCCATTAGTTCTGCTGGCGTTTGGTACATTTCTGAGGCCCTTGCAGTCAGCTCCTCTATGACTAGTTTGCTTTTCAATGGGAACGGGATCGGTGAGTCTGGTGTTGCTTCTCTTTCCCAGGCTCTTTCATCCAATTCCTCTTTGACTCATTTGGATTTAAGTCGGAATTGGATTTTCCCGTCTGGTGTTGCTTCTCTTTCCCAGGCTCTTGAAGCCAATTCCTCCTTAACTCATTTGAATTTGAAGGTGAACGAGATTCGTAATTCTGGTGTTGCGTGTCTTTCCCAGGGTCTCGCGGCCAACTCCTCCTTGACTATTTTGAATTTGAGAAGTAACAGAATTTCTGATTCTGGTGCTACTTCCCTTTCCCAGGCACTTGCAGCCACCTCTTTAACTAATTTGGATTTGAGTCGAAACTGGATCAGTGATACTGGTTCTACGTCCCTTTCCCAGGCTCTTGCAGTCAACTCCTCCTTAACTAGTTTGGATTTGTGTCGAAATTGGATTGGCGATTCTGGTGCTACTTCCCTTTTCCAGGCTCTTTCAGTCAACTCCTCGTTAACTTGTTTGAATTTGAGGTGGAACAGGATTGGTGTTTCTGATGCTGATTCCTTTTTCCACCCTCTTGCAGGTAACTCCTCCTTAACCAGTTTAAATTTGAGTCGAAACTTGATCGGTGACGATGGTGCTGAATGTCTTTCCCAGGCTCTTGCAGCCAACTCTTCCTTAACCAGTTTGGATTTGAGTCGGAACAGGATTGGAGATTCTGGAGCCTCTTCCCTTTCCCAGGCTCTCGCGGCCAACTCATCCTTAACTTGTTTGAAATTGAGGTGGAATAGGATTGGTCCTTCGGGTATTGCTTCTCTTTCTCAAGCTTTTACAGGCAGCTCTTCCTTGACTAATTTGAATTTAAATGGCAACGTGACTGGTTTTATTCGTTCCTTGGCTATTGCAGTTCACCCCTTCTTAGCTCATGAGGATTTGTTTGAGGAATCAGAAGAAGAGGAGGAGGAGGAGGAGGAGGAGGAGGAGGTAATTGAAAACAGACGAAGAGAGAGGCTTGCTCGCAATGCAGCCAACACCCCCATGACCAATCTTATTGTTTCAGCGCTCATGGAGCATCAGGGCTCTTTGTTGTAAATAGAGCTTCGATGGCAAGATAAGGGTGTTTGCTCTGTTTCGGGTGGTTTAGCATCACACTGGTTCCATACGTTGGACCATTTTTATGGTCTAAATTGTCTAAAAAGGACAGGGACCTAGCCACATTATCAGCTTTCAAAACAAGTATTCGGAAGAAAGACCTTTCAGGTCTCATAGCTGAGAACACAGACTTGTGTAATACTTGAGACCCTACTTGTTAGTTTACTTTTCGGTTAATTACATTTTAGACTATTTTATTATTATTATTATTATTATTATTATTATTATTATTATTATTATTATCATTATTTATTTATTTATTCATTTTTATATATAACATTTTTAAAAAAATAAATAAATATTATCAAATGTAATCTTAAGCTTGATATATAACAATTATTCACCGAAGTGGAGGTGGCTAGTCCTGGATATTTACCGAACTGCGAAGCAGTGAGGTAAATATCCACGACTAGCCACCGACCGACACTGAGGTGAATAATTGTTTTAGTATATACTAAAACAGTGAGATAATTGAGCACAAAAACGACGATTTTAAACTCAAATACTGTTGCCAACGATTACAATTTTGGAGCGTAATGACCGGGCGGCCGCGGCCGTCTCTTTTTCTTGCCGGCAACTAAAACTTTTGAAGGCATTTGTTTAGCTCTTGCGGGGAAATTTCTTCAAAAGGAGTTGTGAATTCTTCTTGTATTTAAAATCATTCTATAAAAAAAGATTATTAAATTTAGTTTTAAGCTTATTTATGAACAACTCAACTAAATAAAGTAAGCAAGACTTCAGCTTCATTTGCATTTGTAAACAAAAATCTTTTTCACCGGTTTTATCGATAAATTCTTGTCAAAAAGACAAAGCTTTACCTGTTAAAACTTCCAATCCGAACTTCGTCACCTTTTTCGTGTATTTCGGAAACAGCCTGCTTGATTAGTTTTGAAATTTCTTTGTTTGTTTACGGCAGCAAACCGGGAAGGCATTTTGCTTGTAACTTACTCGAGTTTGGCGTCGCTCGCTCCGAGGAACTGGAGGTGAATCAGTGAATAGTGCAGGATGTTCACTGATTGAGTAGCCAATCAGAGCGCGCGAAAAACACTATCCACTGTTTTAGTATATACTAAATAGATTTAGCCAGGGCTACAAGCAAAGCTCTGGTTAATAATACTTGTAAACGAAAAAAATTAAATCTTGTAATGCTAAACGGGGAGGGAAATGAACATGGCATCAAGATCAATAGAACTAATTAGCAAAAAAACAAATTTGCACGTGCAGCACGGTTTTTGTCTTTCTTTGCCGTTGTTTTGCACAACTACAACACTGTTTTGTAGGACTAAAACGTCAAACTTCCTAGTTACACATTATTTTTATGGAGGAATTGTCGTATGTGCTTACCCAATATTTTGTCTCCTGTGTTCATTTTCACTTCTATTTTTCAGTGCCGCTCATTTTCACCTTGCTAGCCGCTAGCATTTCTCATTGTCTCACAGCCGCTTTGAATTTTCTTTTTTTTTTCCTACAAAATTCTTCTCTTTTGTTTTCAATCACTCGCTCTAGCCCTTTCTCTGTTATCCACGTGAGTGTAAACATCAAAAATAACGTCGAAAAAGACACGACTTTGTTGTTGTTTTTTTCCGGGCGGTCATGCGATTTCTTTCCAAATAAAACCTTGGGTTGCACCTGTTAATTGAATTATTTTACATTGGTATGCCTGTGGTGCGGACGGTCGGTCGGTCGGTCGGTCGGTCGGTTGGTGTACGGTCACGTGATTACCAAATTTTCTCGGATGGGTAGTTTACCACATTTTTTTACCCATGGTGTTGCGCTGCGCGCTTCGCGCGCGAGAGCTTCGCTATTAAATAGATTAGTAGGCTACTTGAGGCCAGCTAGAAGATTTTGACATGTTAGTAAAGTTGTTCATTCATTCCGTTTCCGAAAAATGGAAAGCTGGGCCATTGACCACTCCAGAAAATACCATAACATACCATAATGCTCCTTGTTTGTCACGTCAAAATTTTGCATAAGCATTGTTTTCAGTTTCTCTCAATCCCATTTTAACTCCCAAGAGAAACTGAAAACAATGCTTACGCAAAATTTTGGGGTGTCAAACAAAGAGCATTATGGTATGTTATAGTATTTTCTGGAGTGGTTAATCACAAGTTAAACCATCAATTTTAGATAAAGAGTGGCTGAAAATTATCCACCAAAAAGGCGTGTAGCCAATCTCCTGAATGGAGGAAATAAGCATTTGTCTAATCAGGTGCAGCATTTTTTAACTTATAAGACTTTTGATTTCGTGAGCTGTATTATGCAAATATTAATTTACATTCCCGTGTATTGCCTATAAAATATGTGGCAAAAGCTTACTTATTTAGGCCATTATAGATCGTTTTCACTGTCACGCAACCAAAAAATAAATTGCAAACCGTCCAGTGGAAGCAGCCAAGGAAATGAAATGTTATAAAAGACTAATATATAAACAATTTAGCCAAGCAGGGTGCAAAGAAAGTTATTTTTGCAGCTTGCCATTCGGGCAAGCTGAGGGCAGCATATACTAGCCCAAACGTCATTTCAGCTAGCCCCAAAAACTTTTTGATGAGCAGAATTGATTTCACGGTTCTTCTGTAATTTGAATTCCTCAAAAACTTCACTTGCCCGTCGGGCAAGTTAAGAATAAAATTCACTAGCCCGATAGCAAAATCCACTAGCCCCGGGCTTTCGGACACTACTTTCTTTGCACGCTGCCAAGTCTCAGGTCTTTGTGGCCCACAGTTTCTGAGTTATTTGCCGAAACATTTCACGCTCCTTTATAGGGCTTTGTATGGAAACGCCATATTGGTGCACCGTTTTGGTGCACCAATATGGCCGCCGGAAATCAACAAAAAAATCTGGAGTTCACTTTTTCTATAAGAGTCTTTCTTTTCACTCGAGAACTAGCATACGTGCACGTAAACATATCTTCTGATACTTGAAATGGTTATACTGCTGAAAATCAAGAGGACACTTTTTTTTCAGCGAGACAGCATTCCTATTTTGGTGTCGCGCACTGTGAAAACTCGGAAGTTCAAATTGTTCTATTTTCGAAATGAAACATGCTACAGGACTAGAAACATGTACAAAGATTTATTTTTTGTTTATCTTCAACCTACTGTAAATAAGAATTCGTAAAATCTCGCTATTTTGACTTTACAATTTGGTGACGTCACTGTGAAAAACATCTATAGATACTTCGACTCCGAGAAATTTTAGTATCGTATCGATGTTTATTTAGAAGACAAGTTTGGTTCTTATTAGACTACTGTGCAACTAGATTTAAGCTTATCCCGTGTAGACTCTATGTGATCTTTAACTTTGCAATGCTTGCTATTACACTATCTACCGGCCTTGTTTAACTACTGTTCTATGCGAGAACTCGTTTTCTACTCGTTATTTATTAAATAAAGCTGATGTCCCTTCGCCCCAAGTTAATGCAAGACAGTCTTGGGTTCTGGATTCTACGCTATGGGATCTGGATTCCAGGTACTGGATTCTGGATTCCTAATCAGTGAAATCCAATCATTAGTGGGATTCCAGATTCCAATCATTAGTGGGATTCCGGATTCCAATCATTAGTGGGATTCCAGATTCCAATCATTAGTGGGATTCCGGATTCCAATCATAAGTGGGATTCCGGATTCCAATCATTAGTGAAATTCCGGATTCCAATCGTTAGCGGGATTCCGGATTCCTTGAGCTGGATTCCTGAGAGTCGTTATCTCTTCCAGGGAGACAAAATGGCAACTGACCTACATCTCCTCAAAGGAGGAGTAACAATTCATGCTCCAATGGTTAATTACTGATGCTGTTGTCCGGGATCCGGTTGTAAGTGTCGATGCAGCGCTCATTTGAGGTCAGCGCTCGGCTTTGTTTGTAATGCAAACGGTTCGCCTCGTTTTGTAATGAAATGCATGAAATGTTGACTCGCCCATGGTAGGTCAGCGGTTGGGTGGGTAATCCTTAAACCTGGGACAACCGATAAACGGGGCCTAAGAGTCAAAGAGAACACTACAAAGATATGGTATGAGTCTTGTATGGACAGTATCTTTAGCACAGCGCTTTATTTACAAGAGTGGTCCGAGCAAGTTCAGTTTAATTAAACAATACAGTGCCGAGGATAAAACCAGACTCTGGTTGAATCAGTCTGGGATGTAATAGCCTGTTCCAGGCTCTCAGATCGTAGGAATGACGCGTAAAAATGAGCGCGTGACTAGGAAAAAGAGGAAGGATGGGGAGTGTAGGAGCTGCTCGTAAAGTCTCTCCTAATTGGTCGCAGGAACAATGACATGTCATTCTTTCAACTGTTTTTGTATTGTTTGGGGTCTGGGAAACGCACCATTGGTGACGTCTCTTCCGAGCAGCTGCTACATCCAAGGGCGGAGGCGGTGGCGCCCTTCCTCTTCCCAGAGAATTTTTTTTTTTGTTTCCCCTTTTCTCAATTTTGGGGACACAGCTATCTTGGAGACTGAATATGCTACGGTGTAACGGAATAAAATTCAACAATAACAAATGCCGAGATTACTGGGCTGATAAATATTATAAGATCTACATGGGTTAGCAAATGCAAAATAAAAAGGAAAAGACTAACAGACACAAATAACTCTAAGAGAAATCCCAGTGGGAGCAATGCACACCGCGGAGTCTTTATCCTCACTGGGTGGGAAAGGAATTTTTTTTGCTGCATGAATATTTTTTCTTTAATATTTCCCATATTTTAAATTTTCCCTTTTATGAATATACATACT